TTTTCAAAAAATATACGAGAAGTTTTCTTTTATTCTTTTCATATGCCCTTTCGTCAACCTTTAAACAAATTAATTGTTTGAGGCGTTAGAACATTCCTATAGTAAAGTACTAAGCCTACAGATTACTCTCTAAAGATTACTTTTGCAGCCTACCACAACCGGGTTGGTTCAATTATGAACAGTTGCATGCTATAATTGATCCTGATTAAGGTCCTCTTAAAAAGAGACATTTTTCCGGTGAAAAGCTAGGCTATTATTATTACATTCTGATGGCAATGTGCACTAGCAGACGAGATCGCGACCTTCACTTACTGTGCAATAGGGAAAAAGTTGTCCTGTTGTCGGAAATTGCACTACGACCACACGCCATACAACGATCACCTTACGGTTGCGCACGTTGGGTACGCAAAACGAGACTCGTTCAACTACTCGAACGTACTACGTATAGAAAAACTATAGCAGACACACCCATCTTCACCTAGAGCGACCAACTGCTGGTCCTCAGCTGACACTCGAGAATCGTTGGTGAGACCATTCTTCGTCGGAAGAACGAACTCATTTGCCGTCATTCCCAGGGTTGAAATTCGTTGGTGAGGGAATTCCCTCCGACGATAAACAAGACCGTTTTTTACGATATGTGGAGGGGTGATAAATGGGTGACAACCTCTGATGTTGGCCTGAGAAAGTGAAAGTAATGGAAACAAGATTGTGTTAGGGAGTGGTGAAGAAGGAAGCGCGACCTGAGAAAAACAAAGAAAAAAGAAGAAGAAGGAACAGCGAATAAGAAACAGCACTAAAAGTAAAAACACAAAGGAAGCGAAAAAGAACTAGCTATCGCCAGTTTGCTAGTAAGAGTCATAAGTTACTTCGATAAGAAAAGGATGAATACCTAGGACAATGTGAGCACATGCGTGTAAGATTATAAGGAGAGCATGAGATGAGAATTAGGGAAGCATTTGTATTGTACAGACATGGTCTGTCGAAGACCTGAAATGCCAATG